CTTGGGTACCGGCGTGTCTAACACATACTCAATATTTTCTTGTCTAAGAACTAAACGCACATTTCTTTCCCAGTCCAGAAAGTTTGGTTCAGTAAGCTTGCATGTATCCAAGATACTTCTCAATGATAAATTCGACATTCCTAAAAGCCTAAAGAAGTTCAAATAGAACGGAATTAAAATCATATATTAATTCCTATGATCACATCCAGTTAACTAAATAATATGGACTATTAATTATTTAGCTCCCACTATTTTGCATGCTCTTTGACCCCAATAAAAAGAACATGAATTGTTTTCACAATCATAGTGGCCATGATCCACATTCATACTATTACAGTCCCAGCTTGGGCTGATCACTGCAATAATATAATGGGTAGGTCCCTAGACCAATTGCGTCCAAGCAATTCTTGGTTGATCAATTTTAAATTGATCGACATCCTTAAATTAACACTGACGCTTGGGCGACTCGAGCTAATTTAAGTAAGTCAAAACCATCACACGATCACAAACATATGCATCTATAAATTAGTTCTATATTTTGTCGAATGGAATAAACACTTGGGTGAAATATTCTTCAACGAAAAAATATTTCTACTAATTTAATTATGATGGATGATATCGTTATCCTAGATAAGACTTAAATTTTAATTTATGGGGAACATTTAGCGGGGTATTAAATTACTCATTTAATCAAGATGCTTAAAACATATTATCAAATAATATGGTAACGAGATCTAACTCAAATAAATAAATTTAAGCATGCAATATAAATCTAATTTATAAATGAATACAATTAACGATTAATATAAGCACGCTAAAAAAATAATAATAACAACAACATAATATTCGGTCAAAATAAAATTGTTAAAATTAAACATATTTAATCTCTAAGATTATTAATCAATTAAATAAGTCAAACTTGAACTTCTAACTATTTCTCCGTATTAAAAAAAAACATTTTAATCATAATAAAAAAAGTATCAAAAAAACAAAAGGTCCTAGACTCCTAGGAAACCAGAAAGAAGTTAGAACAGGGAACGTTCAAAGCCTTTTTCGGGTGCAGCACTCCCAGCCTGCCTAACTGTGCAAGACCTGCCAAATCGTTTAATTCTTCGGAACGCCTATCTTAATAGAGTTCCGGTGCTTGTGAAACTCTTCAGACTCTGTTTTGCCTCTCTCCATCTTTGCTAACGGAGTTGGAATTTAGAGCGAGCATTCAGAAAGCTTTTAACCGCCATTAATGGTGGTATAGCTTCTTGGGAGAAAAGTGTTGAAGGTTGCGAATTTCGTTGGAGCTTATCGGTTTTTGGTCTGCTCGAATCGTGTAACTTTCACATCATCGTTGCAACAGGTCGAAGTTTGTTGGCTTCGCCATTGATGTCCGCCAGAGGAAATTTCGGAGCTCGTTCGTTGATTAGTTGGTCGTCGAAGTATACAACGAAAAATCCGGCGCATATTAACATCCAATTTCAATTTTCTTTTAATTTCTTAAAACAGGTTCAATTGATTTCAAAAAGCAAACAAATTCTGAAAATTGATATTGATTTAATTATATTCTGAATCCCAGATTAACACAATTTCGAAAATCAGTTTTGGTCAAAATATGACATCTCAAAAACACACAATTTTGACCCACGAAAATACTTTCATAAATTCGTATAATGTCATTAGAATCAGTTTGTCTCTGATACCACTGTTAGGAAATTGATGTAACGTACCTCGAAAGTACGGCAGCGGAAGTTTAAAATTTTCCCAAACAGATCTTCCCTGATTATGACAAAATAACGAATATGATAATAATGACAGATTTGAGTTAGAACTTACAGATCTTCCAGCCTAGCGGTGATAATCCTTGACCTTTGGTATCCACGTGATTTCTCCTTCCCGAAAGAACGGTCAGATCTCCCTAAGAGAAAGGCTAGGAAATCTCTTCGCAGGGAAATAAACTGTTAATACTGAATCTGAAAACTGGTCTATGAATTATGAAGGAGGATGGTGTATTTATACAATTTCTAAACTAGTTTTCCAATCACAATGAAAGTCTTACTCATTAATGAGTTCTAGTCCAACTAGGCTCAATAAATATTGTACTTTAATTAAATAAATAAATCAATATAAATGATTGTTAGAGGGGAGGATGGCTCACGCCACTCCTTCCTCTCCTAATATTATTTATATTCTAATTTTCCTTTAATTCTAAATTATAAAGAAGTATCAACTTTATTTAATTAAAATTACATCTTAATTAAGTATAATAAATCTAATTTATCAAACTTAATTAATTCTATCAAATAGAACTTTCCTTCAACATGATGAATTAAATATATTAATCTAATTAATAATTAACTCATCTTATTTTCAGCATTATGAATTAAATATTATTTAATCCAATTAATAATATTTAATTCCTTCTAACAATTCAATCGGAAGGTATAATCACTTGTTGTGTGACCCATAGGGCCTTGTATATTAAGCACTAATCAAATTAAGGTCTTAGTAGAATCCCCAGACGATTTACCAGACAAACTTAACATATAAGGACGTTTGCGAGGACTATTCAATCTCCCTGTAATATAGAGTTCATAGTGATACGGTCCTTTCATTCAGCGAACATTCAACTAAGTTTAGAACATGATATTGTGTCTATTCCAATAACTCAGTCTCTGTCTCTCAATCTTTCTAGATGATCCATTACGATCATATTCGATATCCAAAACGAATATATCTTTGCATTGGCCAATGACTTTATGATCCATCTATAGATGAGAAGTAGAATGTTCTCTCTTAATCTATTATGAGGAATGAATCCTTTCTCGGCTCAACTACTACTCCATGTGCTTCGTGATGCACCCAACACATGCCGTATCTACCCCGATAGGAGTGCAAGCGTTGGTCATGGTCAAAGTACATCACTCCGCACATGTAGTACGTATTGACCTCAAGTCGGAGGACTATTACACTACTCTATACGCCGATAATCCCATAGACACATGAATAGAACTTATCAAATGGTTTCTCGGTGGGTATGCCAATATTCTCTAAAATATCTATGTGACCATCATGAATTACAGGAACTCATAGTTGTGAGATCAACTATACTTTCTAAAAGTATGATGCAGTCCACATACCAATCTTATCGCATATCATCAATATCCCATTTTTGATGATCATTGATTGGGGCTATTTTAGAACCTTATGTTATATCATATAAGCTCCCACTTACTTATTGACAACATAAGTCCAAGGGAACACAATTATGAATAAGATATTTACAATCGAAATACTTAATCATCGATGTGTAATACCGTACATATCAAATATATAAAACTGAATGTGATCAAGTACATATATCTCTAAAAAGTGATTGTCGCCATATCTTATGCCCAGGGGAGGCAGGTTACGGACCACCATATCTTGTGCCCAGGAAACGTCCCTCGATCCCCTCGGAACTCGGAAGGTTAACCCGAGGGAGGAGAGCCATTGGTGTATTCTGATGGTCTCCTAATAGGCCCAGCCTTACCAAGAAACCAAGTTTCTTGATGCCTTCCCTTCACCACCAACCAAAAAAAAAAAGGGGGGGGGGGGGGGGGGGGTGAAGGGGAGTAGACTCAACGAGAAATCAAAGAGTACACTCCAACAGATCACAACAAGCCGAGGGCTCCCCACGGGAACACCTCCGGTAACTGAAGGCTCCTATTTCCCGAAGGATACTACTCAAACAAATATCATCAGGAAACGGCTAAGTCCACTACCTGGTCACCTCCGGTCACAAAAACACCGAAGGCTTCAACAATACAAAGGGACTGGACTATCCAAGGTCCACTAAATGGTACTTCAAACAAACACCGAAGGCATCTGTTATGCACAAATACCGAGGGCCCCTTCCCCATGACAAGGGTCAAATTCTACAACTTTTAAAGTGTATGCCGAGGGCACACACTCCTCATTGGCTTTCTTCACAACAACAGGACTCAACATCAATTTATGCTTAGAAAAAATTCTAAGTCCTGAAGGAGCAGCCCCCGGGCATCTCGCAAAGTAATGTAGAGTCAGAAGGCACCTATCACCCGAAGGCTACACAAAGAAACTACACTTGAAAACTTCCAAGTCCTAAAATTGGGCCCCCGGCTCAATCAACATTACAGCCAGGGGAATACAATAGCCGAAGGCTATGCGATACAACAACACTTGCAAACAAAGAAAAAATCTATGTCCTAAAGATGGGCCCCCGGCTCAGTCAGTATTGCAACTAGAGGAATATGACAGTCGAAGGCCATACATCAAGAAGGGATGCCATCTCCCGAAGGCTCCTAAGGGAAAATCCACACTTAAAATGTTTTCTAAGTACTACATGCTTTTCCCCGGTCAACTACTTATACATCAAGGAGGGATGCCATCTCCCGAAGGCTCCCAAAGGAGATTTTTGCATTTAGAAGATTTTCTAAGTCCCACATATTCCCCCCCCCCCCCTGACAGCTACTCATACATCATGAAGGGATGACCATCTCCCGAAGGCTCCCAAGGGAAACTCTACACTTAGAAGATTTTCTAAGTCCTGCATATTTTTCCCACCGGTCAACTACTCATACATCATGAAGGGGTGCCATCTCCCGAAGGCTCCCAAGGGAAACTCTACACTTAGAAGATTTTCTAAGTCCTACATATTTCACCCTCGTCTCAAGGGACCTAATTGCCGAAGGCTGCCTATCAATCGAGGGCTACAGTACACAAGGAACCAACACTCAAGAAAATTTTCTAAGTCCTAAAGAATTAGCCCCCGGCCTATGCAATATTTCAGTTGGGGCTCCACAGTAGCCGAAGGCTACATGACATACTACACTTGCAAAAAATCTCTAAGTCCTGTGCGTTGGGCCCTCGGTCCAACATTCACACATCAGGAAGGGATGCCATATCCCGAAGGCTCCCAAGGGGAAATCTACACTTAGAAATTTTTCTAAGTCCGAGGATTTGGGTTACTGCAAACACCCGAAGGCCCTATGGTGTGCTACACTTAGAAAATTTTCTAAGTCCTAATTGCTGCTGAACCCTCGGTTGCATATCCAGCAGAGGGTGCCCAACTACCGAAGGCTTCCAAGGGCAAGCTACAATCGAAAAATATTCTAAGTCCTAGACATACATTCAAAAATACCGAAGGCACACACTCAAGGAAAGCGGAGGCATACATTCAAGAAGGAAGGAATTGGAGAAAACAATTTATATATACAAAACCCGAAGGCATTCAATCATTCATCACAACAAAGAGTGAATATAGTTATTACAATGTTAGGCCGAGGCTATTACAAAATTGTTCAAATTACAGAATACATATCAAATCATGTCATTCCCCGGGGCGGCCTCCCCCGATGGCTTCGAGGAAACTTCTGCATCGGCCTCAGGATCGTCGCCCTCGGCTTCCCTTCGGAGCTCGGAATCCTCCAGGTCTGGCCTCTCGACATCAGGGGGGAGAGGGACACGGATATCTGGCTGCAGAGGGGGGAGCCCGTACGCCGCCGGATCAAAGTCCTTCGGCTCAACCTTCAGATGGCGGGCCATCCTCCGGTAGATGAGGGCTTGAGTGAAGAACTCACCCCCATCATAATACTGCTTACCCTTCCGGGCCATCCACTCCTCCCCCGGGCCCTCGGACCATTCATCAACCGAGGCCTCAACAACCGAAGACAACCATGCCTTGTGCCCCTCGGTCTTCCACCCCCCGTCCAGGAACCCGGAGATGGCCTCCTCCCGGGCTGTGGCGACAGCCTTCGCCTTGGTGGCCTCGGCCTCCTCGGCTGCTCTCCTTGCGGCCTCCGCAGCGGCCGCCTCAGCTTCTGCCTTCTCCTCCCTGAGCCTCTCGGCCTCCGTCCTCGCAAGCCGGAGGTCCTCCTCAAGCTGGGCCATCAGCTTCGTGGCCTGGGAGTCCCTAAGGATCAGCTCCTTCATCTTGGCGTCTTGCCTAGCTTTGTGGAGGCGCCATTCCTCCAGCCGTCGGAACTGCTCCCCGAGGGCAACGCAAGTCTGCAAAGATAAGCGGGTTGTCAGGGTCAAACGTGATTTCTTAGTTCAAAGTGGGAAACAAAAAGACAAACTACAGTGAACTCATCGTGAGGGAAGACCGGAGGATCCTGTCTTCAAGGGCTTGATCATCATCGGCCCCGAGAGCTGCCCTGTCGATATCGAGGGTTATACCTCTCAGGAGCGCCCTCGGGTCAGCCGTGCCATTCAACACGGCCGTGCCAGCCGGAAGGGAGAGCGTGAGGACCTCGAGAGATGGCTCCCGGACCCCCCTCGACACCTGCGCCGTCGGCATCTCCGGAGGGTCATCTATAATCACCACCGGAGGGTCATCCTTCGCGGCATCCCCCTTCTTTAACTTTTTGGGGGCTTGGGGGGGGGGCTCCTTTGCCGACGGCTTCCTCTTAGCCGCAGCAGCATCGCCCTCAGGCTTTTTGAGGGGCGCACCGACGGGCTTTTGGCCACCTGCGTCCGGCCCCTTCGGATCCTTGGCCGGTTTGTTCTTGAATCGGGCGAGGCCTTTGACGTTCATCATACTTACTGGAACACCTGCAAAAAAAAAATGAGGGGTTAGGATCGAGGGGTCACTACTAAGGCATAAAGGATTAACAAAACAAATGAACAAACGTGCTAAGATGAGGGTGAGAATGCCCTCAACTACTACCTCCGGAGGCTCCCTCAAACACTGGGAACTTCTCATCAGTTTCCCCCAGGAACCGGTACCGCCGGAACCCGAGGGTGTAGAGATCTGCTTCTTTGGTGCAATCCTTGATGGAGATATTCTTGTCCCGGCCCTCCGGGACCATGGCCAGAATCCTGCCATCTTTCTCGAGGGCGGCGCTCCTCCTCTTCTCGTGCCTCCTGAAGCGGTCACGCAGCTCCCTCGGGAAGGGGCTCTCGGCTAGCTTCACATTGCACCACCGGTCCTTCCACCCCTTGTTCGAGGAGGGCGCCTCGGTGAAGAGTTTGAACACGAACACCTGCTGCAGATTGGCGAATCCCTCGGCATTCGCGTGCCCCCCCCCCCCCCCCCGGCACAGGTTGAAGCTCTGGAAGAAGAGGTCCAGGCTAGGCGTCACCCCCCGGGACTTACAGAGCTGAAGGAAGCCAGTGATATAAGAATGGCTATTCGGGGTCAGCTGGCAGGGAACCAAACCGACGAACCGAAGATACTCCCGGAGGAATGGGTGCAAGGGGAAGCGGAGCCCCATGGATACTGAGAGGACGTGAACCGCAATGCAGCCCTCGGGAGCCCGGGAGAGAACGTCATCCGGACCCGGTGTCACCACGATGGCCGAGGGGCCCACGTGAAGCTGGGTGACATAGATGTCCGCCGCATCAACCTTCGACTTGATCTCCAAAGCGGCGGTGTTGAGATAGGAGTACCCCTCGGGCATGTCGAGGGGCTTCCCTTGATCTGCTACGCTGCCCTTCTTCTTGGGAACAGCGGCCTTGGCCTTCTTCTTTCCGGGGGCCACCCGGAGGGGGACCGCATTCAGCGGCCGAGAGGTACTGGCCTCCCCGGCACCCCGAGGGGGGAGCACAGCAACGGTGACCCTCTCGCTTTCTCTTTGTGCCTCCTCTTCAGCTGCTTGCCAGGCGATGGCCAACTCTTCGTCCTCACATTCTTGCTCAAAGCCCTCGGCCTCCGCCTCAGCTACGAGGGCTTTTTGCAACTCCAAGGCAATGACGGCATCCTGTCCCACCGAGGACTCTGCACTTGAGGACTCCACGTCCGAGAGGACTTCATCCTCCACCGAGGGCGCCCCCGAGATATCTTGAGAATCACTCTGGGACGACATGCTGACTCTAGTTCGAAGGCTCGTGCACGCTAGCGTTTCTAAATTTTCTATCTCCTAACCTAAGGGCACAGTACAAGTAGCTAAGAGGTGAAGGGAAAGCGGGCACTGACCTTGAAAGCAGAAGTTCTGACCGAAGGCCTGAGTTTCTCTCACTAGATTTTTTGGCAGAGCTTCGCTAAGGCAACTGAATTCGCACAGCGGGAATGGCTCTGGCCTTGGGGTATTTATAGGCGCTGGAATCCGGGCTTGGGCCCGGAAACCGGGCCTCCGGACGGACCGCCATCATTACACATCGCCGTTTCACCCAACCGGTGACGCCGCCCGCGAACAGCCAGCCATCACGCGCCACGTGTGCCACCCCCCCCCCCCCCAACGGCTATAGCCTGTCGTTACATATTCCAACGGCTATATTTCCAACGGCTATATTCTGGAAGCCCCCGGGTTTTCTACTCCACTCCACTTCATCAAGGATAGCCTCCGGGTACACTCACTCAGAAGTGCCCCCGGACTGCGCCCCGCACAGCACATAACAGACGCCTTCGGGATCACTCCTTCAGAAACCCAGGGCTGCATATCAGGGCACCCCTCGGGGATTCCCCCTCAGCACTGTGAAACCGGGATAGCCCCCGGGGAGTTGCCTCATTGACGGATGACCCGTGGCACCCAGGTAATGGGAGCCCTCGGGTACCTTCATCACCAACTAATCAACAAACAGTGGACCCCCCGGTAACAACTCCATCGCCGCCCTCGTCCAGCAGGCCCTCGATCCCCGGATTGAGGGGCTCCCCTTCGGCGCCACCAGGACATCAACAGCAAGCCTTCGGCCAATCAACACAGGAGCCCTCAGAAGAGAGAGCCTTCGGCATTCCCGTTATTCTCCATTTTTACCAAGGTTTGACATTTTCGATTCATCATTGGGGGAATTCGGTGCACTCTTTTTCCCTCATTAGGATTTTTTCCCACAAGGTTTTTCCTAATGAGGTTTTTAACGAGGCATCCCCCCAAAATGAAACGAAAAGCGTCAGCCTTCGGCCCACAACAGCAACATAACTACTTTACTCCTTTTCACCACTCTACAAGTGCCTCAAGGAGTGGGGGACTGGAGGACCCCCTCGGGAAAATCATTAAATTACAAAATCTGTGAAATTCCAACAAACAACAAAGCAAGCCCTCAAGTCCCGACATGTGGGTAACTGAGGGACTGCCTTCGGCAGGGACATAAAAGCAACAACTCCTCACCAATTTCAGAGATCATGACGGGACAACATCAAAGGGCAAGCACAAATTACTCCTTTTCCCTCAAGTACCTTTCGGCAAAAGGAGTGAGGGACTCCTGATGGAGTATATGGCCCGGGAACCCCCGGCCCACAGACTCCTACTACTCCAGCAAAGGCCCAACAGGCCCAAAAGGCCCAACAGGCCCAAATCACAGCGCCCAGGGTACCAAGCAGCCCGCACTACGCGCCAGGGGTGCCTTCGGCCCCCCGGCCGAAGGCTCTGAATTCTCACAGAACGGGTTTCTCAAGCAAATTAAGAAACTGGGAGAAAACGGCGAAAACAGTAGCCCTCGGCACTATGAGCCCTCGGCACCAGGGTGCCATCGGGTGGAAGAGCCCTCGGCTACTGCTCTATAGCCGAAGGCATCTCACTCGACAAGATATCCGCCTCACATGCGTACAGATCATCGTGCCCCGCACAGACGTCCCATCCAACAGCCGCATTAAATGCGGCCACATGCGGCTGCCAGCGCCAACCAGTTGAGGTGACCCCTCGGCCAATGAGCGCTTGACACGTGTCCCTGCCCGGCATTTATTGCTACTATAAATAGCACCCCATTTCCTCATTTGTAACCACGCTGAAAACGGCATTCATACTGAATACACTCTCTCTACTTTTATTCACTTACTCTGACTTCTCTCTAAATTACTCCCCGTAATAACCCTTCGGATATATACCCCCGGGTAGACTATCCATCAGGTACAAACCCGGACCGATACCTGGCCTAAATTTTTAGGCTTAGAGCCCACTTAGTCCCGGCTCAAAGCTCGTCCTCGACCCCTCCCAATCCACCCCTAGTACAGGGTAAGACTGCATAAATCTAACCCTCTCCCATACCTCATTATAGGTGGGAGCCTTTGCGGCACTAGGATGATGATGATGTTGTGAGCCTTACTAAATATGACTACCTTGAAAATTTCAAAATTAAATAATAATTTTCTCCAATATTACTAAAATGATTCTAATGGATAAAAATATTACTCCGTACTACTCTCAGAAACTGGCTTCACATGTTACATTTGATACTCCTTCCACTTTTTTTTATTAATTGTCATGTTAGATTTTTCAGAAAGATCACATAAGTAGTACTACGTAATCTGTAAATTACACTAATTATGGCAAAAAAAGTATGAGAGAAAAAGTAAAAAACATAGAAAATGTGAGAAGAAAATGAGAAAAAGGTATATAGAAAGAACAAACTGTGAAAAATCGGAAAAAGAAAAGAGAAAAAGTAGGGTAAAAGATAATGGAAGCGTGACAAGTAAAAATGTGTGTATGTGATTTAGTATTCCACTAATGACACTACAAGTGACGCACCGCCATTGTTATTGACACCGTCCCAATAAAACAACGTGAAAAAATTAAAATAATTACATATTTATGACTAAAATAAATATTATTTACAAAAAAAGTGAGTAATGACTAGTGTATTAATGAAATGATAATAACTTATGTTCATTTTTTAAACTTAAGTTATCAAGACACTACAATGTAATAACTATTAATCATACTTATGTATATTAATTTTACTTTAGTACTACGTAATACTTTTGTAAAAACCCCCAAAAAATTGATATTAGAGTTCTGAAGTTTTTTTTGAATATACATTAGAGCTTTGTATTTATATAGTCACTTTTTATAAGTTATACTAATCATATTTTTGTCTATTAAATTCCTAAATACTAAAGTAATAATTTTTGTTATCATTGTCTTAAACAATGCGTTAATAATTGCAGTATATTGTGACTGCAATCCTTAAAAGTAAAATCGTATAAAATTCATTATAAAACAGGTTAGATATGTTTTTACATGGATTGTAATCTGCTGATCTAGTCTGGTCTGTTTAAGTCTGATTTGATCTGTTTAAGTCTGGTCTGGTCTGAAGTGCGGTAAACGTCTGGTCTCTGTGTATTTTATAACTACAGAAGTGTATTTTATAACTACAGAAGTCTCATTGAGACTTGAAAACGTAAAAACATCCTCAATTCTTTTACCTGTGTGTCATTCAATTACGATACATACAATAATGATAAAGCATAAGACAATTTTTCATGCCTCGACTTGGTAGAATTTTTTCAGGGTATATTCCAGACATGGTTTGACATGCTCCCTTGCCATGTCTCATGGCTTTTAGAACAAAAGTTGTTTCCAATTATTACCTTACCATGTGTTAGAGATTTTCTTGAACTTTGTAACTATTTTATAAACCTTAAAAAATGTTGGAAATACTCCACATGAAATTCCATTCAAATGAACACAAAACATTTCTCAATTAACAGCCAAGGCAATCATGATAGTTGAATATGTACGCACTACACAAACATTAATTGGCAACCAACTAGCCAAACCAGCCATCCATTGAAAATCACAATTGCAAAATGTTCTGTATACTGTAATGGAAACCTAACCTCACATATTTTTACTTCTATTTTACAAAAGGCTAGATAAAGACCAGTCTCTCAATGTATAGATTTTCTCGCGTGCTCTGGAATCAGCCGGTTTTGCAGTTCGGGAGACGCACCAGCCAGCTCTGCATGCATGAATTGTGTGTAGCATAGTAAAAAACATATCAAACCAAACAAGGGGTAACTACAAACTGATGAGAACATCATATCACTCACCTGGAGGGGTAAAGTTGAATAGGGGAGGTAAAGGTTTTCCATTTGGTAAGGACACGTTTGGCTCCCTAAGAGCATCAAAGAACGGGTGCGCACACGCCTCCAGCTGAAAAGAAGAAACAAATAAACAAACTTCAGAAACGTGCCCTTGACAACTTTCAAAAGATATTGAGCTACAGAAGGTGGTAATGAGTAGTGCTTGTTTGGTAATTGTTTTTTAGCAGAAAAGACTGCTGAATTTTCTGAAGGGATAAGCTTCAGAATCATCCATTTCATCCAAATACGTAAATGAGAAGCTTCTTA